TTATTGTGCAGATGTGTTTGTTCTCAATGATTGGGTGTTTATTCTTTAAATATTATTGTATGCAACTGCTGCTAGTAGCAGTGTTATACTTAGATTCGTATCAAAAACCTGTCACGTGGGTCGGTTTTGTCCGAGCGAAATCCTATGTTACAACTCAGAAATGCTAGTGGTCACATATAGAACATAATACATAACATAATTTTATTTTTTTTATAGATATTGTTACTGTAGTAGCAATTTTTGTCGGACTAGGACATATTATATTATGAGGCGTGTAGAAAAGCTAAAAGAAAATGTTTTCAAAATTGTTTTTTTTTTCCTAATTTTAAATGGCCACATTCATTACAAGTCCTGTAAAAAAGTATTAAATTTAAATATAAAACAATTCTATAACTAGTTTAAACATTTATTATTTTTGATTATTGTGGTTAGTTTCAAAATCGCTTGTCATCTAATTATGTTTATTTCAAAACAAGCCATAATTAAACACTTGTTTTTTTTTTCGTGGTAAAATAATAAAATGTGTTGATAAAATAAAGAATCAAATAAAGTTTTAATTTATCTATCAAAAAATCAATTTTTTTCTTGTTAATAAAATGTTTCAATGTTTGTTTTACAATTCATCTATAACTCAAAGTTAATTTCAAAACCAAAAAAATGGTGATTTCAAAAACAGCCATATGCAAAATGTTTAACAAAACCATTAATCTTTATTACTCTTCTAATATTTCTATATAGTAAATATATATAACCAATGTGTATTAAACTTTGATATATATCATGAAATCGTAGAGTTAAATCTTACCTCATTTTAATTTTTTGTTAGTTCTGAACATTTTCAAAAAATTTGTTTTAGTTGATTTTGAAATTACATGCTTAATTTAATGATGATCAAAAAAAAAAAAAAATAAAAAAAAAAATAGAGCTATTTTATTATAATGATTTACATTTGAATCGTATTTAAACTGAAAATTGTAACACACGACCACGCGATTTTATTATGTTTAATAGCAATTTGTCGTTTATATCCAACGTTTCATTGATTTTTGAGTTTTGAAAAATGTTGAAATAAATATGAAAATTATGACGCTGTATGGTTCTACATTCGTTTCTGTATAATATTTAATAATGTTGTCCAACGATATATTTTTGATTTTGATATAATTGTAATTTTTCGATATTGATATAATTTAAAATAAGTGCGCCAGAACCTAAAAATAAATAAATATTGTATGTGTAGGAAATTAATTAGTTATTTAAGCGTATTAAATTCATATTATATGTAAATGATATATAATAAATTATTAAGTATATCGTATATTATTATTATGATTCAATAATGTTATTAAAATTATAAATATATATTAGATTTAGTTAATGTATTTTATTATTTTACAAGCATTTATTACTGAAATATAAATTAAATTTTACACGATAATTTAGATAGAGTTTGTAGAAAATTTGATATTAAAGTGTTCGATATATTTGCGGGTTTTTTTCTTGAACATTGCTGAAAATGTAATTTAATATTAAACATATTTATTGTATAACCATCAGAACATTTTTATTTTTAAATAAAATATTTGACTTTTAAGTTAGATCATGGTTAGTCATAATTTTTTTATTTTATCACATAGTATAATAATATCACAAGAGAAAACAACGTTATGATTTGATGTTTATCATCACGAATCACGAACGAAAAAAAATATTTTTTTTATTAAAAGTTAAAACAAAAATATATATACGTGTATATTAATTTTCACCAAGTATGAAAAAGTTATTAACTATATAATTTTGTAGATTTTATACTTAAATAATTTACAGGCATGGTTAAAAAATTTTTTTTTTCGTTTGCGTATGTTTTCTTAATTATAATTATTTGAAGTTTAATTTAATTTTCGAAATGTACAACCGTTTGTCATCTGTTCAAATACATGATTTGTTAATATAATAAAATATCAATAGTTTTTTTTTTCATAAGTTTTTTATAATAAATAGATTTTAGGAATCCGTAGTTATCAATTTTTAGCGACTTGAACACGTAATTTATACGCGCAGACCAATTAGTTCATAATTTAAAACTATTATTTTTTTGAGACCCAACTCGTGGATGCGACCGAAATATGTATCCACTTGTAAGAAAAAATAACAATTCAATAAAAAAGGTGTGCATAAATACTATTTTTGCAAGAATTCAATTTGGTCTTAAAATCGCATTGATTATGATATATTTAAAAGAAAAAAAAAACTAGAAGAGCGCGAACGCTCTCTGCGCTCTGCCAATCCCCAGTGACGCAGACAATTCGCGAATTTTTTTCCCTTACACACGTCATGTAACGCGTACTCACCGAGAGAAAACAGCGGTGTTATATTATATTATATTATATTACATTATATTGTACACGCACTCGGGGAAATGTATGGTAGCTGAGTCTCATTTTTCGAGCAAAAAAAAAAAAAAGAAGAAGTTTACATAGGTACTTAATATAAATATATAATACAATATACTCGTGCGAGCACTCGAGGGGGTGTCAGAAGTAGTCTTAGTACACATACATACCTACACATATTATATTATGTACATATACGAATATCATGGAAACACTTTGTTCTCAGCCCTATCATCAGGTATTAAATTATTTATTTTTTTATAAACGATTCCTGTAAATCAAATGTTGTCATTCCTTACTGGAAATAAATACATGCATATAATTATACAAGGTCAGAATTGTTTATAATAATAAAAATGTTTTATTCATATCAGTTGTATAAAGTTAACTGTTAACTAATCTTTTTTAACTCAGATAAATATTTAAAGTCTTAGGAAACCAATAGTTTTAGTTAATATTTGGTTTTTAGGATTATATAAATAGTAAATAGACAGTTAAAAATAATATAAATAATAAACAATATTGAACGTAGGCTGTACATTATTACTATATATAACACTTTATAATATTAAATGTATTGTTTTTAAAACCGGACATTCATGGTGGAATACTGTATTATTTGTTTATTAGACCACCGTGATTTTCGCAAATGAAAAAATTGCAGGAAGGACATCTTTTTTTTCAACAAAGAATTACAATTTGCGAGAAATTGCTTATTATTCAGAAATAGTCATTGCTCATTTTAATTGATTTTGTATACATTTAAACAGATGAAGAAAAAGAGAGTTAACAAAGAATAAAGAACAAAGATATCGTATATGAACATGATCGATTATGAATATTATGATATAACAACGAAATCACGTCTTAACTGAATAGGTAGGTATTATAATAAGTACCTATGACTTCAGTATTACCTTCGAAGTAGGCGTTTATTAGACGTACATTTTAATGACGGTGAATATTTGTTTAAAAATTAAACTGTTCAAAAGCATTCATTAGAGAGGGTATGCGATTTTCTGTTTTTTAAAATTTGCAAGTCACTATTTAATTCCCAAAATCTATTTTTAAAATTCACCCAGAGAATTTAAATTTGGTATTGGCAAACTATTTTTGCCATTGTTTTTCATATTGTTTCTATTGATATTATTATAATATTGGTTGTCCTTGATTTTGCTGACAGTTTAATTTTAAGAAAATAAAAATAATAACATTTTTTAATAGCGGATATGATAAATATTTATTACGTAACTATGTATTAAAAAAGTTACAACAAATTTTATACTCCTAAGCAAAAAGCAAAAATTGTGAGTATACCGGTATAATCGTGAAACTGCCGACTTAACAATAATTCGTAGGTTATCAGTGTTATCACTCATGTCAGTCAAAATTATGTATCTAATTTAATTAATTTAAGCTAATTAGTCATAGGCGGAAAATTAAACAGGTACGATCGAATGTGGACGTTGTCGGATTTAATTCGCTTAGTTTACATAGCGTGAATGGTTTAATCTAGAATTGGGATTTGTTTATTTAATTTTATGCGTAAGAACAGTGTATTTATGATTTTATTTATGTTTCTAGTATTTATATTCATTGTCACCACCCATTTATTTTTAAATAGTAAAACTGATAAATCATTTTTTTTAAGGATATTATACTGTAAATTATTCAAGTTTTCATATTTTGTCCTATGTAAATAATACTTATTTACATATGAATAAATTAAAAATATATTTTTTATATTTTATTTTTAATTTCTTAAGTAACCCAATGATGGGATAATATTTCACGTCTGATAACTATTAGTTACAATTTTATTTTATTTTTTTATAACATGCTCATCAAAATAGTATTAGTACTCAAAATGGACTAGACACATTGGAACAGCGTTTCGGTTCCTGTAATACTAATTTTAGTGTCAGTTCCAGTTAGTTAGATTTTAAGTGTTTTAGATCAGAAAAAATATCAAGTAAATATAAAAAAAAAAAAAATTAAGAATATTGTTTTTCAGTGAGCCGTTTCCGACGGTAAACAATAAAGAGGATAAACATTATTTATTATTCTATTTATAGAAAATTTAATTCCCAAAAATGCAAGTTCTTACACAATAATTAAACTACAACTTTTAGCCGTAGTACTATCGATAACGAATTCTGAGAACTCTTTCAATCAACTATCTGTATCTGTATAATACGTATATTTAATAATTTTTGTTGTAAAAGCTAATAATTAAAAAAAACAATTTTACTATAGGTATTATAGGCATATCCATGTATGGTATTTTAATTTTATGAGCGTTCCAGTTTGTAAAATTTTCAGTTTTTAGCATTAGGTAGTACTTCAAAACAATATTTTACTTTTATTTTTTACAAATTAATAAATAATGAAATAAATATGTATTTTATGTATGGTTTTAATAAATTCCAATTGGTTAAACATTTTGAATTGTTTTTATCCGTTCATTTTTAATAAAAATGTGTATCATAAATTGGCTTCTTTTTTTTTTTTAATTTTTATGAAAAGTTTTCAATTTTTCTTTAATATTTTTGTATAATAAATTATATCTATACTTTTTAATTATAAGTAATTAAATTTTTTTTTCAGGAAAAATGTGTGTGGAACGTAAAGAACAGGCCTTTGGTATTTCTGTTGATTTTACTTTTGGTCGTATCAGTAATTGGAGCATTGGTTTACTTCACCACAGATATATTCAATAAGCCTCAAGAAATAAAATACAAATCATTAGAATTTAAAAAACTTCTTAGCGGCGACTACGAACCTAATGTTTTCAACGGGACATGGGTCCAAGGTGAATAGTTATAATTTATCATATTATACGCGTAAACATATTATATATACTGGTGTGATGTTCTGCCAATAATTTCACCAACTCCACCGAAAAAATATCAAACTTTTAAATACATTTTTGTAGTTAAAATTTTACATTTCCCCTATTTATTTTTGCTTAATTTATTGCTATATTATGAAGTTCCGTCTGTGTACGAATGTTTCTCTGCTCAAAACTCCTAACTGCTCTAACAAGTCTAACTTAATTCATTGCTTATGCTTATAGAAAAGATGTTTACAATTGTGTAATACATATGCGTTTATTGGAATAAAAAAAATAATAATAAATATTTACATTACAATGCAAATCTTGATTACATACAACTTGTATTTAACTAAATACAGGTGGTGAAATATTGATGAAAGACGCCAATGGAGATATTGTACTATTCAATGTGAAGAATTTAAACACGACAATAATAGCAAACGCTTCCAAAAAAGTTGGTATTTTCAAATATTTTGTTATATGTTATATTATAATTAGAACAAATTTATCGTATAGCATGTTACGTATAATCCTCTATACTATAAATTATTTAAAATTGTTTTTTTTTTTTAAAATTTTATTTTTTAGAATGTTGACAAAAGCTTTCAATACGATCTTTCTGCCGACAAGCAATTCCTGCTTTTGGCTTATCACCACAAAAAAGTACGTAACTGTAAATTATAACTATAATCCAACCTAAATTAACCGATTAAATATAAAATGTTTAATATTATTATGTGAAATATTATTTTACAAGTGTACAGACATTCATTTACGGCTTTCTATGATATAATCGACGTTAAGACAGGGTGAGTATCTATATTTATACTTGATTATATAATATTTTTTTAAACTGTTTTAAAAATTATTTTGAATATAATATTATAATAGACGTCTACAACTATTTTATATCAATTCTAATATTCGGTGTATAAAAATTCCTTATAAGTTATAAGTTAAATGTTTCTAAGTAAATCTATGGTAAATTCCTCGTTATTTGTATTTATAAATGCCAAATAGTTACAATGAAGTATATTAATAAAATATATTATTGATTTAAATTTCATCATTATTTTAAATATTTATTTATATTAAATTTCTGGGTACTCCCGTCACACACTCTACCTAATTACAGTAGGTACCATATTCATATGGATAATGAGTATAACCATAATTTTTAAATATTATATTATAATTTAAAATAATATAATTCTGAAACTATACTGTTTATTTTTATTTGTTGTACATTTAGACATTTATTATGAACGTTGAAATATCGTACGAATACTACGAACGCACACCGTCACACATTTAATTGTTTATCACAACTTCGTGCACAAATTGTAACTTGTTTTTATTCATTGCGAATTATTCAGTTGCTTCATAATAATCTTTTTTTTATCTATTCTATTGGTGTAAGATTAGCAATGACTTATTTTATACTATATTATATATTTATAAAAGTTAAAAGTTGTAGTCTTGTATTCTTATTAGTAAAAATATTCAAATCAAAAATGAAATATCATATTTACAACACTTATTTAATATACTATATATTTATATTATTAATTAGGTAATATATTAATCTATGGTTTATAATAATGTCGTTTTAAAATTTTTTGAAATGTTTAACTTATCTATAAAATAATGATCGTGTATTATTTTATAGATTTGAATTTGATATTTATTATAAATTGATCAATTTATTATTTAATTAAATTAGCGCTATGTATGTGATAGAGGTATGTTAATTATATGTATGAATTCAGAAAACAGATTAAGAGGAGTAGGTTCATTAGTAAATAAAATGTCAAGTTAATTAACAAAATACTACTTGGACAATGGACACATCTAAAAATATTTTGTATTCTATTGATTGATTTTAATATTTTTTTCCATTTGCAAATATACTGTATACTAATAATGATATTTATGATTGTGATTATTTTTCGCATAGAGAACAATTCACGTTGCAAAGCCAAAATTCTGCTAACCCCTGGGATTTACAAATAGCCAAGTGGTCACCCGTCGGTCACAGTTTAGCAATTGTGCATCATAACAATATATATTACATACAAGACATTAATAATCTGACCAACACTGTACAATTGACATTCACGGGTGGCTCAGAATTGTATAATGGCATTCCTGACTGGGTATACGAGGGTAAGTACATTATTAACTTGTATTTTATAAAGACACATTATTTTGGTTATTTACTAGTTGTGAACAAATTGTTTAGACTAATATTATTACATAATAATTGCGGACATGAGTTTCGTTACCAATCAAAAATCAAAATACTAATAAGTAATAACATACAGTAAGTTAATAAAAACCGAACTTTAGGACTGAATCATAAAGACACTAAGAACTTAATTTTATTTATTTAAAGTACAAATTGTATAAGTCAATTAAAAAAAAAAAAATGCAAATAGTAAAATTTATAATATATTATACTAATGTCAAGTTGTCAATGCATTTTAAAATCAATAAAAAATGTTTATAAATTCTTTACTTTTTAAAGACTTAAGACAAGCTACTGAAAAAATTAGTAGGTGGGGATAAAAGTATTTGTTTTGCAAAAGAGCAATAGCTCTTTTTTAAAATATATTGTTATCAAACGTTTTGTAGCAAACTTTTATCTTGAAACAGCCTGCATAAATAATAATCTATTAATTTCACCAACTGGCTATTGCAAATTTTGGTTGTTGATAAATGCCTTCTTTTCGATAGCTTTTATGCTCGTTTTAAATTTCACATAGCAGTATAATAAATTTACAAATTATCAAATATCCGCATTCGTTATATCAAAGTTAATGATTGAACATTTGTCCGCAATTAGTACGTTTATATTTGTGTCCGTAATTCATATGTTACATTTAATAAATTTCGTTCACAACTTGCGTGTTATTTATTACTTTGTCTGTAATTATGAAACACCGATTATCTATAGCTAATAGCTATAATCATATTTTGAAAAATAAAAAGATTATGAGTCTTTCCTAATGATTATGAGGACACCTAAAAAACTAAACATTAAATTTTATGTTCATAAAAAATGTATATATAAATTACGATGTGGGACTTTAACGGTTACAAAAGTAGCAGTTGCTTATCAAATTACTCGTTTAAGATTTTAAATTTAAAAAAAAAAAAAAGAAAATTTACAATGGCCGTTAGATTGGTAATTGTCTTTGACGTTATGCTGATTTTTTCGATTACTCATAAAATCATAACTTATTTAATAATATATGTACAAATATGAAACCTACATTAATTTTCATACTTAAATCATTTTCAAATTTCATTGAACGTATTTTTAAACAAAAATGATTTATTTTTTGTGCTATGTTGCTCCTTTAATATATTCCACTATATTTTTAATTAGCACCTTTATTGATATAATCTGTTTCGTAGTGATAATATGATATTCCGGGAAAATGTGAAGAAATATAATTTCCTCGTTTTATTACTAAATCACCTAAAATACCGCACTGGATATGACACTGAGTGCGTCACTGTAATGGATATTTTTAATTTTAATCTAATAATGAATCATTACATACAAAAAATGATTCTGAGCTGAGACTTCAACTTGTTTTATAGCTTAAGTATAAATTTATATTGTTATGACAATAACTTATTTTTCCATCAGGGAGACGTTATATAGTATAGATAAGCTGTATCTTAAAATTAATCTAAGTATTTTGAAAATGTTATTGGGTGTAGTAAATTATAATAATAAGAATATAAAATATATGCATTCTATGTCTCTACAAATATTTTTGAATCACTACAAAATAATTAAAATCATTACTTTTTGTTTAAATATTTAATATTGTCAAAATTATAACAAATAGTTGTACCTACTTATATATTTTTATATTTTAGTATTTCAGTAAAAACAATTTCCATTAACCTAATAATTTATTTTCAAGTCTCAACATAAATAATTTTAAATCGTTTTGAATGTTCGTTATTTTAATTAATTTTGTCAAACCCTTAAAAAAAAAAAAAAAAAATGATGCCTATGTCTTTAAAATATTTTTGAACTACTATGAAACAATAAGTATGGAATTTCATTTTAAATTTTCAAGCTTTTCGCCAAACATAAATATTTTGTTTTCAATTTAAAAGTTTATAAATAAATCAAAGAAAATTTGAATGTTTTAAAAATTATATCATGTAGAGAAAATGATAATATAAATGTTCGGTGAGCAATGTCGAGTGACAAGTATACCTATCTATAATTATTCATTTTTAAATTAGAACAGTTTGACAAAATAGATTTGTTGAAAATTTGTCCTTTTATTTTCTTCCTAATTGTTAAAAAAAGTACTAAGAAATTTTACTTTTATCCTCTAAAGTATCAGCCAAAGTCACTTTCCTATCAGAAAAATAATATTGAAGTAGACGATTGAACCATTATATCTATAGTAAAATATATCTCCAGACACAAATATAAAAATAAAAAACACATATTATTTTAAATCAATAAATTCATCGCTTTGCTCAGATTCTAAAATATACGTTTCCTCGAAATACTGTAATTATGTATAAAAACAATTTATATTTTCGAGTCAGAATTTCATCATGCGGTCAGACAGTCGACTATACAGTACATTATTCGACTACAGCTGCAATTTCCTACAGCTAAATTTAACTCTTGTGTTAACCACGATAGTAATGTGCGATAATATTTCAGTAGTATGATATCTTACAGGTTTTTCGTACGTATAATATATTACGCGGTCGAGGATGTGCTGTATAGTGTACAGTAATTTGTGTAATAAATATGGTCTTATAGGTATACTTACTATGTTAAAATTAAAAATCGTGTTCCTATGGTATAACTATGTATATTATTATTATCCAAACGCGTATTATGCACCGACATAATTAAAATACTGAGTGTTCCATAGTGAATATGTCCTAATTTAAAAATTTTATTTTGAATTAAGTATTATTAAATTTACGAAATTGAAGCAGGTGTCACATAATACTGTAGATTACGAAGCTTTTATTCTACAAATATTCAAAAATGCCTTCTTTTACTGATATGAGATCACAACAATAACGAAATATCCCACATTTGATTGTTTTTCTCAGTCGACAACTTTTTTGAAACCAGGTTTTTCTTTGTAGAACACCATATTGTATATTATGCATTATGATTATACGTTGAAGTCATATTTTCTGCATAAATCATATACAATGTGTGAATAATCGCGTTTGTTATTACTTTGTTTGCAGAGGAGATACTTGGTTCGAACGATGCCACGTGGTTTTCGAAGCAAGGGACCCGGGTGGCGTACGCGGCGTATAACGACTCGTTAGTGCCCACAATGTTAATACCTGTGTACGGTGTTCCGGGCAACTTGGCTTACCAGTACCCGAATATTGTCAGTATTCATTACCCAAAGGTGAGGCATCGGTTTTTTTTACATATTATTTACATACTATCATCATGTTTGATTTTCAATTATAATAGTTATTTTTTCAAAAAACACCTCTGATGTTTTTTTCTTATTTAAAGGTTGGTGTGCCTAACCCGACGGTAGAGTTATTCGTGCAACGTCTGGACGTGATTGATGAAAAACCAGAACCAATACCCATCGAGCCACCAAAAGAATTGACGTAAGTATTTAATCCAAGTATAATATAATATTATACAAGGCATGTATTTTACACATGTCATATAGATAAGCAGTGGCATAACTTTCAAGGTGATATACAATATATACTATATAGCTATTAGCAAGTGATTTAGTATCTAATGGCTCTTTCTACTGTTTCTAAAACAAAACTTTGCAAAAACCACCTTGTGCTACAAGTGGTAATTTTTTCATGATATTCCTAAGTATACAAAAAATATAGTTGTTTTTAATTTAACAAAAAACTTTTTATCAAATACATGATATTGTACGTTATATATCATTTAAATATTACAATATAATTCATAATAATTTTAGATAAAGTTGTATAATACGATATAATATTATGTATTTATAAAGAACCATAATAATACAATATCTGAATTTAATAAATTGGAAATATATAAAAATCAATATCTATAAATTAAATAAGTTTTACTATAATTTATAATCAATATCCCATACTTATATAATATTATGAATACATTATTATGATAAATTTTCTCTATTATTCAAAATTTTTCTGTGAAGATACTAAAGTTACTAAAAAGTCATTATTATAGCTAGCATATAACTTAATATACAGCATTTACATAAATAATGTCAACAGGCGTTAAATATTAATTAACATTATTAAATTATTAATATTTTTTTGTAACATTTTTGTATAACTTAAATATAAAATAATATGTAATTAAAGTATAAAATAGTTTAAAATATGTATTATAATTTATAAGATTTAATATTAAAATACTAAAAATTAAAATTAAATGCTGACTATAGAATATTTCCCTCTATCAGTTAAAACAAAAAAAATAGTTGATTTTATTAGACAGGACTATTACCTACTCCCAGAAATGTATTTTTAAGGACAAAATAAAAAATTTAGTACAGGATGCCTTAATATAGTATTGTTATGGAACACTGCAATGGTAAAGGGTAATATTTTCGTCCTAGCAGTTATCTTTCATACGCGTGATATATTAGTGCACGAATGACCGAATTTAGTAATTTAGTTACCCAAAATAAACATTTATACACGCGCGTAGGTATGTAAATTAATATGGGTTGTAATCAGACTGCGTGCAAACAATCGTCCACCTATTAAGTAGGTATATCTGCCTTATATAATATTATACATAGGTATGTGCATGTAAAAGTATATAATAATATAGCAGCGGGTGAACACGCACGAAGAAGAAGCGTAAATGAAAACAGAACTCGATTGCGTCCGATGGTTTTATGAACAAGTGAATTTACATTTGTAATGTTCGCGTTTGAAATAATAACAAATACGATAAGAAATACGGTTTAGGCAAACATTAGCGTAAAATATCTAGTTTTGGTATAATATTATGGACAAATAATTCGTCGTTTGCTATTCCTGATTCGGTTCCCGCCGACGTCTTAAGTGGTTATATAACTAAATAACCGCAGGTATATAATTAGTATGATAAAATGTATTGTCAACTTGGAAACAGTTGACAATTATTATTATACTGCATAACTACTATGCCATATTTATTATTCATATACACAATATTACCTATATCATGTATAGGTACCATAATTTATCATTTATTTTTTCTCCATTGTTTCTTTTAATATTTTACGATATTTAAATATTATTTTATTGATTTATTGGCGAAGAAAAAATCATTTATTTCAACTGAAATAAACTAATTGATTTTATTTTTTCATAAATATTGCGGAGTCTCTGTAAATTTTTGCTTGTTGTGTAACATTTTACTTGTAATGCACAAAGTAATAGTAAATATATTGTTAATATACGTGTTGTTTTTTTATTTTTTTACAATTTATAGTTTTTATTGAGAAGTAATTGAAAATATTAGAATATAAAATAAATCACAATTTAATTCAAAAATTTAATTGTATGTTTAAATTGCAGTTCAGTCACTAAAGATATTATTCTAAATACAGTCATATGGTCAGATGATACAAACCTATTTGTAATGTGGATGAATCGAGTACAAAATAAATCATGTTTAGTTCATTATTCTGTGGTCAATTCTGCAGAAAGCATTAAAGTAAGTTTAAAAAAATTATATTTAAATTGATTAGTTTCATCGTACATATTTATTAGAGGACGTCGAACCCGCATGTTGTGTTGTCTCTGTCTTACAAATGTTCAAAATAGCAAATCTGTGTTCAGTAGAACTCATTTTGTTATTAGGCTTAATATTATAGTGAATTGACATAATATTATCAAATTTAAAATTCAGAATATTAGATTGTTATATTATTTATATTAATTATGATCGACATTTCTAAAATCAATAAATATTGGAAAAATGAAAACTTTGGTTGTATTTAAAATTTTCAGAAATAATAAAATTATATTTATTTATTTATTCAAATGCGAGTTTCTCGAAATAATTAGCAAACTTTAATAAAAAGTAATAAATAAATATAATAATAGATTTAATTTAATATTCATAATTAATAATCATAATAATTTACATTTTAAAGTCTGTGGTTGATATAATTTATAATATTGAGTGTTCACTATGCAATGACTAGTATTTCTTCAATGACTTTAAAAGTACTATCAATTACTATTTATTTAACTATCAAATATTCACCAGTTACCGCATAAGTATCTAGAACTTAGCAACTTAGATATAAATATAAATAATAAATATACTTTATTTAAGCACATTGTAAACTTATATTATTTCCTAAATTATTCATTTTAAATTTAACCAATTTGATAAATCGGTGTGGTTAATTATTAATATTTAGTAATTACAATTGGATATAAATTATAAAGTAAAAATATGTTTAAAAAATATAATTTTTTACGTCAACATAAAAATTTAAATAAAACTTAGAATAATTCAATTTATTTCAATATTATACATTTTATTATTAGTTTAGATATAAAAACATAAATAAATAAAATTAATCAGTTTTTTAAAAATGTATGATTTTAGTGTTTTATTACCTTTTTCATATTTTCGACGTTCTGGGAAAAATGTTTTTTTTTCAAAATTATCTGATTTTCTGATCCTTAATAATTATTAAACATTTAATTTCTATGCTGTATATAGTTTTTAAGATGGAAAAAACATATGCAGGATTCGCATTCACTTAATAAAATAAATGCTTAAATATATCTATTTTAACTACAGATTTCTATATAATATTAAATAAGATACTTCATGTGATAACAACTGCAAATTATGAAGCCAGAATTGCTGCAGCTGATTAAACGGCCGCTATGTTTTTGGTTGGCAAAACATTACATTCAATATTCATTATTCATTATATAGAATGTATTAGGATAAAGTCAGAATAACGTTTTAAATAGTAAATAAAATAATAATAATTCTAAAATAATACTTGAAAAATAATTTGTATTTTTTAAAAAGAAGCAATTAAATATTTAACATCTAAACATCAGTTAATAGGTACCAAGTATATACTATAATATATTAATATATTAACAATAAAATCTAAAATTTTTGTTGATTCACAAGTTTTAATTTATAAATTATTAATTTAAAAAAAATGTGCACTACTTAAAGTACATCAAATAGGCGCTTACTTTGATATATATTTATTTTGTGCCATAAATTAAAATAAAAGATATATTATAAATTATTAAATAAAAATAACTTAATTAACAAACGGCGTTTATTAACAATCATGGAATTTTTTTGTCTTACCAAAAAAAAAATGAAAACGAATTTTCAAACATTTTTTACATATGATTGTCACCAAATCTAATTTATAAAACTAAGGCTGAGATTTACATGTAATAAAAACAAAAAATATATATATATATATATATATAATATATACATATGTATTTTTAAATGGCCAAAATATGTAATATAAAATAAAAAAATATGAAACAAGAAACATTCAAAAATATCAATAAACTAAATTAAAATGCAATTCTAAATAATTTTTGATTAATACAATTCATTGTTTTTAAATTCTAATCAATTTAATTTAAAAAATAAAATATGTGGTTAAAAATATAACTTATGTACCTAATAAAAAAAATTCAAAAATATGGTGTTAAATTAAAATACAATTAATTTTTAATCAATTTAAAGTAAAATAATGATAAATCATAAATTTTCTTAAATTTTCAAAATTAAAAGTACGGTTATTTGGTCTTAACACTGAAACGCCTACTAAAAGAGGTTCCACATGACAGATATTTTCATAGCCACGCGAACGCAAGTACTGACATTGTTGTAAATTCGTAAATATATTTTGTCAAATAATTTTTGAACATTAAATATAACCAAAGAATTGACAAAGATTATTAAAGTTTGGTTTTCGAACAAAAACAGATAAACTAAAATCAAGTTATTAATATTTAACTGATACTTTCATATACTTATTTCCTATATATTATATGCATTGTACTCACTTTCAATTTTTACGAGTACTATTATCGAAGTATTAATATATAATACTACTAAAACCACCAAAATTGTCCAAATTTATGAAATATGTAAAAAAGACGGAAATTTTACAAATTATGTAAAAACATGTATTTATGATGAAATATAATATGTCTTATTTTATTGCAAATCATGTGAAACGAATTTATAATTTGCAATAATTAATTTATCATGTTTTAGTAAAAATATGTATTTACACACATATTCCAGCCTTCTTATTTATGATTATCCAATAAACTTTCTTCAGAATATCTAATATTGTTAAAAATATTATAATTAAAAACATATCTTTTTGTTAAAGTTATTATTTTAAATGTTAAATACGAGGTAATAGATGTAAAATTGCTGGGAATTTGCAAATTTCTAGACTTTCCGGTTAACAAATTCTGATTGCACCACTATTCTTAACTCGTTAAAGTTTATAAGTTTCAAAAAAAAAAAAACAATAATATTCGTAATAGGCGCAGTAAACTAGTGATACGCAAATGCGTAAAAATGCAAAATTTTTAACTTCCAAAGACCACAACTTCAAAACTTAGTCCGACCGATAAATTCTGATTGTACCATTGTACTTAAATAGTTAATATAAGTAAATTTCAAAATAAAAAAAAAAAAAAAAATCGAAGATATGTGTGGGGTGGTAAAGTGCGTCGGTTCCAAATATTCACTTGAAAAAATTTATTGGTAGGCCTTTTATATCTTTTAGAACAACTATAGGCCGAACAGGAAACAACCATAATGGTGGAAAAATGATGTATAAATTATTGTGTAGGAACAAATTCTTTATTATTCTTTTTTGTGGAAATATATTCTGTTTACTGCATAATAAATATGCATTATAATAAATTAATAATGTTTTGCCAACTGAAAACATGGTGCCTGACGGCGGCAACTAATAATTAACGCTTCAACTGATAACGGGAGTTCGCTATCTAGTATTATATGGAAGTCTGTGATTTTAACTTATTACAAGTATGAATAATATTTAACTAAATATTTAATGTAATATAATAATGTACTTCACAAAAATTATTGATAGTTAATAATATTTAATTTTTTGATAATTAATTTTAATTAACATATTATTTTAGTTAGATATGCTAGCAAAAAATATAATATATTAAAAAAACAAAAAATTATGAAATTTTAAACGCTTCACTTAACTTAAAACACGTCATTCTATTTACTATAATTATAATCAAATTATTAAATACAATAAATTTATTTTAAGAAACAACCTATTTTACCTATTAAACAATTTAATTAACATAGCATTAATATTATTAAACCAAAATAATTTAATTATAATAATTTTTATTTTTTTTTTTATTAAATAAGTATTATAGATTTAGTGTTTTTCTGTAATAATGTTTATATAAATACAAGACTATCTTTTAATTTATATAATTTAATTTATAAACATAAGTCATTTTATGTATGTATCAGGTGTACGGTGTGAGATAGCACTTAACTATAGAAAATTAAAAACTATTATTGAATAATATTTATTATTAAATATATTTTTTTTACTCATACACAATACTATGTGTCTATGTTATCTAACCATTATTTATTATTGATAAAAACCAAAATATTTGAGAAAGCTAGAATAAGTAATAATAGGTGATGATAAACTCTCCCTATTTTGAAAACTATTGAACTCTTCATGATCTATTTCAATAACTATTTGAAATAAATATTTTCTGGGTCAACATAATATGTTTACTTGGAGGAAATGTGTATAAACTCTCACGGATTTTACTTTTTTTTAAATTTAATTTTAATGTTCATATTGTTTAAAAATTAAATTTAAATATATATATACATGTATTTAAATAATGTTTTTCTTATTAGTACCTGATTTGAATATAATTATATTCATTCCTAAAGAAATTGATTTTTAGTATTATTGTTTTATTATTTACCATAATTTATAAAATTGACTTTTTTAAATTTATAGGTACGTTTGTACTATCAAAAAAATTGGATTTTTATGTATAAACGTAGTTATTACACACTCAGAGGAGTTTATCAACAGAAGAATTTATAATCATGCATAGTAATCACTTAGAAATATAAATATGGAATACATATACTTAGATAAATCTAATAATATCTAATACTTTTACGTTAATGAATGGTACTTGAATTCAAAATTTAGTATTATAGGTAAAGAAAATTTAATTTTAGTATGATTTTTCCTAAGTATAAAATATAGAAATAACACTAAAAAAAAAACCAGATATGTCAGTATACTGTTTAGTTTAAGTTCCAAGTGTACTGTCATTGGTAGGTTACTGATTACATATCTATTTACACATTAATTTGAATGTATTAAATTTAAATTATTACAAAATAAAATTTATTTTAAGACAGCATTTCAGAATCTATTTCGTAACATATTTTTATTATTATTAATATGGGAGATTGAACACATTTTTGAAAAAAAAAAAAAACATTGAATTATTTATTATATAACAATAATTGTAAATATTATAATATTTTTGTTTTCATAGATAACTAGAGTAAGTATCTACTATTTCCTAAAAATACTTAAATATGCCGTATTTCAATTACTTTTATAGTATTCAAATTAAATTATTTTACTATGTTGTAAATCATAAATGATTAAAGTAATATTTATACAAATACTATATATTTTAACATAAGCTATAATTTGAATTTTTTTCCAAAATTATTTAAATATTTAAAATTGACTTAAATAAATAAATAAAATTACTTATTAGTTATATTAGTTAAGGTAAATACATTTTTTTTGTTTAGGTAATACATTTAAGAAGTAAGAAATGTCTCATCTTAAACTCATGTTGTAAAAATATAATAATATGTTGTATTAAATTTATGACTACTATCCGGACAAATTTAAAATTTTTTTATTAGTTGATATTATTATTTATTATTCTGTATTTCAAAATAGTTATGATAATACTTACTTACCTTCTTAGATTTTTTTAAACATGAACATGTGTTTATTATATATTCTTACAGGTAGTACCATTCAGTCAATCCGGAGGATGGTTAGATTTCACGCAAATACCATTAATCGGCAACGAACATCGCCTGGCTATATTATATTCTGTAAAACAATCGAATGGAGATTATTTTAAGCACATAGTCGTGGTAGAACCCGATGGCAAATTGAATCCAATAACGAGTGGAAAATTCGAAATCATCAAACTTCTAAAATGGGACCTCCAGTCAAACTACATGTAAATAAATTGCGTTTTTAGAAACAGGTCTAGACTATTATATTATTTAATGAAGAGATTTATTAAATACAATTATTATCATATTTAGGTAATAAGCGTATATTTTGGGTTTTAAAATTTTATCAAATTGACGTATAAAATCATTGTTAATATTAATATTAATGTTTGTTTTTTTATTTAATATAAATAACATATCTATAGATTTTATGGATATATATTTTTTAAATTATAGTGAAGAAAAAATAAATATTGTACTTATTCGAAATTGTTATCTATGGGGCTATAAATTAACTTATATTGTATTATATTATCTCATAAAAAGTATAAATATGTTGCACAGGGTCAATTGAATTTTAATATTTTTAGTATCATATTATACTTGTATTATGTTTTATGCAGATGGTCTCATTATTATTTAATTGAATTCGAATTTCAAATACCTTAGACCTATAGATCTACTATGTGCTTTAGTCTAAGCATTTATCAATAATAATCATAATACATTTTTGTGTTGTCTTTTTTTTAGTTACTATTTGGCCAACACAGAAGAAAATCCCGAAGAACAATATCTGTATCGAGTGTTGGTTAAAGAACAAAGTTTACCAGAATGTATATCGTGCAAGACGGAATGTAAATATAACAATGCAGAGATGAGCGTGGAAAACGAATATTATACACTAACATGCAAAGGCCCCAACGTACCAGAAGTCAAAATATTTAAAACGGTATAAGCAATAAGATAATCTTACATCATAGTTAGGAACATTAAATATAATATAAAATTATATTATATCTTAAAAGACGGACAGAAATAATCCAATAAGGTATTTATAGAGTAAAACAAATACCTTCGTAGTTAAAATACTATTACAATTAGTATAAATACATGCATTAATTAATATCCATGTGAAAAATTACAAAAGCTATTAAAAAGAAAGATTTTAATTGAAAATTATATTTATGAGAGAATTATATTAAAATGACAACAATTATTGGTATTGGCATATTAAACAAGAATGAACTAATATGAAGAGATAGGTGGTAATTTTATTGATAAATTTATCAATAAAAGCGAATGACCAAGATTTCATTAAATGAGTTAATTGTTTTTGAAATTTATAAAAAATCTAGAAAATAAATGATAATATTTGGTAGAAGTTAAAATTATTACAAATTAGTACAAATTCTTATTTTTCCTTTTTGTTTATACAAATTATTTTTAAAAGCACTTGGAATTTTCTAATGTTGGTGTCTACTCCCTGCAATGCTAACGATTGAAAGAATTTGCCTACTTTAAAAAATTTTTCGAACAAAAAAAATCCATTATAATAAAATCAATAAATCTATATGAGTACGTTCAAATTAAAAAAAAAAAAAAACAACTAAAGATACTATTTTGTATTGATAAGAATAATATTATTCATAAATTAAAAACGTCCACTACACATTGCATTTTTATAATATTATGTTATTGTCACTTTAATAAGGTTCCTTGAATGTTTTTATTTAAGACTGGTGAAAAAGCGTTGGATTGGGAAACGAACGAAAGCCTCAAAGACTTATTATCTACCATTACTCTTCCCCGGGTATCGTTCATCAACGTACCAATCGGTGATGGATTCAAGGCTCGCGTTCGACTTATACTGCCGCCAGCCGTCGACGAAAGTGCGAACATCAAATATCCACTATTGGTCAACACGTAAGTGACAAGTTTTATAAGTATAATATTATTGAAAAATACCCTACGCGTCCACATATATATCTATAAATATATTGTAAGACTAATGTATTACATCCGATATTTTCCGTGTGTATAATATATGTATAGTTATGCCGGTCCTGGATCGAATTTGGCTATCAAAAAGTTTTCGTTGGAATGGAACATGTATTTTAGTTCGAGCAGAAATGTGATCGTCGCTCAAATCGACGGCCGTGGGTCAGGAAGAATGGGCGATAAAAATATGTTTGCTAACTATCGGAAATTGGGTACCTACGAAATCGATGATCAAATATTTGTCACGAGGTAAACAATCATTTCTCATATATAATACAAAATAATTATATTATAATATTTATCAGATTAATCGAACATTAAAACAATACAATATAAATCATACTTTTAAGCAAAAGTTTAATAAGCTACGGATTTCATCGAAAGCTTATACTTTTATTTTTAGTATAAAATTTAAACATCTAAATGCTTTTTGTAAAAGCAATAATTTTCGTTGTTCATAAGTATACATATGTTTATGTAGGTGCCTAGGTATAAAATTGTTATTATTATATTTGGTTATTACATATTATTGTACTACAAATTTAAGCGGTAGGTAGAGCTTATATTTTAGTTCTTATATTAACCATAACATTTATTTTAAAATATATTCCGTCAATAAAACGTAATTTAATAAAATTATAGTATAAACGTTTATTAAAATTAATTCTATTGGAATTTAATTGAAAACCATTAAGATAATTTTATTCAAAAACATTTAATCTTTCTACACTTTACCCATTCTAATAGAATGTATTTTAGATTTTATGCATTTTTCATAAGAATTAACATTATTTTTAAACAGTGGCGTAACTTGAGCTAAAATTTTAAGGGCCTGTAGCCTCTGTCTGATATTACCCGAAAAGTAATCTGTGGGATCAAACTAAAATTACAAGTATAATCGACGTTAACTGTGAACATGTAAACTATAATATTAATTATAACAGTTCATTTATGCGATTTTCTTTTACAGTTATCTCCAGGATCAATTTTCTTTTATTGACAAATCGAAAACGGCAATTTGGGGTTGGAGTTATGGCGGTTACTCGGCTGGCATGGCTTTAACTAAAGACGACAAAAATGTGTTCAAATGTGGATTGTCCGTCGCTCCTGTTACCGACTGGATATATTACGGTATATAAAACAATAATACGGAATATGGATATTTAATTTTGATTTTTTTTCACTAAATTACGTTCTACATTTACTTAAATTTTTTTCGGACTTGTGTATCTAAGCATAATAATATATTTTCAGACTCGATATATACGGAACGATACATGGGCCTGCTTACAGATGACGTAGCTGGTTACAAAAACGCCAGTCTATTGAAAAATGCCGAGAAACTTCGTGACAAAAAATATATGGTTATACATGGCACTTATGATGATAATGTTCATTACCAACAATCCATGATGCTTTCCTATGAACTGGAACGAAGAGTTATACTTTTTAGACAGCAAGTAAGTACATACAACTCGTACATACTCTTCTGTACACTGTACAGTAGACGCAAATATACCTCATAATTGAATAGAGTTTTAAAATGGATACAATCAATTCGAGTGCATTGTAATAAATCATTGCATAATACGAATTAGGTATGTAATATATAAACGAGCAAACACTGTCAGCTTATAATACCAACTATACTTATTACATATTAAATGTGAATTATGTTATAATAGAAATTTAGTTACTATTGGTAATGCGGAGATTGGTAACTCAACTTAACTTATTATTGCCGAAAACGTCGCTTTATTTTGTGATATTATTAATTACTATAATTGCATATATTTATATCAGATAATTATCATTGTTAATAATTTTTGAGTTGATATCAACTAATTGTAGAACGAAAAACGATGTAAACCAATATGTGATTTAAATTAGTTAATATAACTTCAAATTAATCTAAATATTTTTGAAAATGGTTGAAAAAATAATAAAAATTAAAATAAAATAAAATAATTAACATAAAATTTTCAAGTCTTCACTTTTAAATTTCAAAAATCCATAAAACGCTAAAAAATAAATATATAACGGTAACATAAACATTTGGTGTACATTCTAAGTACTTATCTATAATTTTCTGTTTTTTAATTAAAACAAAATAAAAAAAATCTATTTTTTAAATCTAAGTTTGCCGAAAAATTCCTGTTTTTTAAAAATCTAAAATGGGGTAAAAAATGTATTGATTTTAAAATGAATCTTTTTATTTTATAATATTTTAAATACACAATTTAATTTTCAAAACATTTAAAATAGTTATATTTTGTTTCTTAATTTTAATTTATACCGTATAGTTGAAATGATTAAGAAATTACGATAATAATTAATAAAACTATATTTATATGTTAATAAACTAACAGAATGTTTTAGCACAGAATCATTTTTCTTATGCATTAATTTATCATTAAATTCAAATTCAACATATCCATTACACAATCTACTCAATGACGAGATACAATAAAATTGATTCCTCCTGAATAGCAGAGCGATTACCTATTCCCCCTAATTTTTTTTTTTGTTTATCCCAATTATTAAGAAAAATTAAGTAAATTTTTTTCTTTTAATTACCATAAGTAACTAACTACCTATTAGATTCTGCTGCCTAAAAATATACTGTAGCTGAATATTTCAGCATATTTACTGCTTCAAATATTTATAATAGACAAAGAAACACTAGAATAATAATCTCTTCGCTCAGCATGTGCCATGTATAATGATTTGTCTATTTTAAAAAATGTGCGAAGGTCGTTTGTGCTAACGTTAAATATAAAAACGAGGAGACGGTGTACAGCTAAATAATGATTAAGGATTGATAATATTATGGTAGAAGCCTTACTTTATTGTGGAAAAAACAGTAACGTTCCAAAATAGTGAATTGAAAAATCGAAAATACTAGGTATTGGTTTTTAAAATAAACACAAATTAATACAATTATTTTCTTTTATTTTGTCATGGCGGTGGCACACTAATGTGTACTTTCTCAGAACATTCACTTCATCGATCTGACCTACTTTCATTCTTACTTTGCTGAAATCTAATTTTTAAATTGTTAAAATTTGCTTTGATGTATAATTTTATTTTATTTAAATGTTTAAATTAGATAAATGAAGAGTACTTATACGTAAATAAATTGTCAGTTTTTATTATTGAAATATCTATACCTAGTTATATATTAATTATAGCTTTAAGTATACTATAAAATACTAATAAATAGCCAAACATAACATTTTGTTTGTGCAGTTAACGTTTAAATACGTTCATTATAAATCAATTTAACATAATATGTTTTATTCGTATACAATTTAAAGTAATTTGTAGTCCAAATGAATGTAGAGTATTAATATGCATGAATTTTTTTTTCAGACTTATCCAGATGAATCACACGGTTTGTCAAGCGTTCGCAATCACGTGTATCAAACAATAGGTTCATTTTTGTTGGATTGTTTCCACGACAGTTTGTGATCTCAATAACTGCGATTATTAACAAACATATTATTTTTTTTTTAAACATTTATTATTGTTTTATTTGAATTATTGTAATATTTTTTGTCTTGTATCAGATTCTTCAATTGATTATCAATTCATTTTCCGTTTATTTTTATTTATTATTATTATATTTTTTTAAATGTAACTAAACCCAAAATTATGTTTATCATAATATATATATATATATATACATTTATATATATATATATCTACTTAATACATTTAAGATGTTTTCAAAACTTTTCTAAAAAATTGTTTTCATTATCAAGTGTTTTACGCGTTTATTGTTATGTGCCATTTATAAAAAAATCAACTATTTAAATATACATTATTGCTTTAATCACGCGTAGTTCAACATTAAAAATCATTATTCGGATACACTTATTCTGTATAACGTGCAGTCTGGCGTTAACAATGTTATTTGATAATTAGTATATTTATAGCACATAATTTAAAAAATACTATCGGTAAGTACTTATTTTTCATAAAATACTAAAAACACAGTGATCATACTATTTGCTTACAATTTACATCAATGATTAATATAATAATGTGTATTATATTATGACATAAGTAAACCAGAATTTCAGTTGCGTTATAATTTAAAACAATACCAAGTTCTCTAACTTGACGCTTTTGAATAATAAAAGTTGATTAATGAATTTATTAAGATGTATCTATATTACTTGCACTTAAAACAAAATAGGAAAAAAACAAGAAAAGTAATTATAATGTATAGTAAATATCGAGTACTCGAGTATTGTTCGTCTTAGATTGCTGCAAAGAGTGTGTTAAATTGTAATTCAGTAATACATAAAAGTTACTTACGAAAAACGATTTTGTGTGAAGTCGATGAGTCAGCGTATATTTGAAAAGATATTTTAATATATATTTATATATTACAATAAACAAACGTGAGTAAATAAATTAAAATAATTAATTGGTTTACGAAAAAATACAATATCGTCAACGTAGAAATTAATTCTGAACAAATAATATACTACTAGATTTAAAGTTAATACGGAAAAAAATATCAACTTAATTGAGTTTATAAGAAGTTACCTTTAGTAATATTACCATTAGTATGTAGATCACATAAATAATATTTTGTTTCTATCTATATAAATATTATTTATAATATTATTTTATCAAAAAATATAACAAAAATATTAGTGCTCTTTACTACTATTATTATAATATAAGATTATTTTTTGTCATACTTTATTTATAATTGAGATTTAAAAACCTATAAGAAATCTTATTTTAAATAAGCAAGCAAGTCTCAGGTGTTAAAATTAAAAAATACTACTAATTTTTAACTACAAAATAATTTGCAAATACTTGTTATTTTTATTTATTTCGTAAAATATTGGACTCAAACCTTTTGTAATAAATATATGGTTGCTATTTTAGTGATTTTTATTCATGGTAGAAGAACTAAGCAAGATTAAAATAATATGATGAACTACGTAAAAGATTTTCTAATATTTTTGTTAAAAAAAAAAAAAAAAAAATGATTTAGAATATGTAGAACTATAATCTTATGTATACTTTTGTTTTTATTATTTTATTTTATTTTACTTAAGTATTAACATTACTTTTAATAACATTTTATTTTTTCAATCGTTCACCAATCAGAACTTTTTTTTTCATTTTGAAATGTATACACATCTGTGCAGATTGTTGTGCGTTAGTAATTTTGGTACCTAAGTAAAATCTTAGCGGAGACGTCTTTTCAAACAAATTATCATTTCGATAGAATCGGAAATCGTATCTTTTTTTCGTTATTTGTGGAATAGGACTATGCTTAATAATGTATATTATGGTGCATATTATAATATTATATGGCTCTTCTTATTTTAGTTGTTACTACAATTATAACAATACAAAAAAAAAAAACGTCGTGCACATGTGCAACCGTTGGAATTTCGAGACGTGACAAAGGATCCCGCGTGGAGGAGATCGATATGCAGCAGGTTTTCGATACAATCGAGAAGAATAATCGCATTTGCACATTAATAGCTATAGGTATTTTTTAGAACGTACGATCACGACGTATAATAAGCACGTTTTCCAGGTATAACGAACATCGTTGGCCGTGCACACAACGGTGCACAATATTGTCGATGGGTAAAAATATATAAAAGGTATAATTTCAATTTATAATATTATAACGATGACTGTGGATTTCTGATTTTGAATAATGCGTAGTTACCTGTAACTACTTTTCACGCGGTCACAACGAACCGATGACGCGGTCGAAAAATGTATAATGCAAACAGCTGCCGGTTTGAGACTATTATATGGTTATTAAAATTTAGAAAGAATCTGAACACCTATTAGGTATTCGACTTGTACAAACAATATATTTTGCATCTGTATATTTTTATACATCGAAAGTAATAGTATACCGATATCAGATCGATGCTAACCAATAAGCTAACCAAACTTAAGTAGTATTCCAAATTATACCGTACTCGGAAAACTTTTGGAATATTGTTCCTCAAAAATATTAAATGCTAGCTGTATTTTGAATGATTTTATAATTGTATAATATTAATTGGAGCGCCATTAATTTTTCGTGGTTGTAGACGAATAAGTGCAGGAAGGTTAGTTCTTACGTACTTCCTGATGCCCAACTACTGTACTGCACCTGTGTATAAATACATACATTTTTTAAAAATTATATTATCATCTACTCATTTCATTCTTAGATTATTGAACGTATTTTTTGATTTTTTTAATTTGACAAAAGGTATGTCTAATGACTCTAATGAAAATGATTACATAATTATTAATCCATTCAACTAATATACGTCGTGTATAACTACATATTGTTGCGCGTCAGAAATAACGTCACTGCCGCCGCATCGTCGAGTGAGCTCTAAGACTAGATAATTGCCATTGCCCACCACACATTACAATCTGCTCGTCGATTATTCATAATAGTTTTCATAATACTTACCAGCATTTTTTTTTCCTTTTCCCCGTCTGGATAGTTAACAAAAGCGACCAGTGACGCATTTTCTAATATTCGTAAAAATTTTTACTCTCTACAAGATCACTAAGTGGATAAAAAAAAAAAAAAAAATAAAAAATCGGTTGCACGGTGGTGAAAATCATCGGTGAATGATGAAGTTGGGAAACAGGGAAACAACCGACTTTCTTTATACAATTACTACATTTTATTAAACTGTATAAAGACATAAAGTAAAACATACAGTTTACAAATAACGATTTTACACGAATTGCATACACGCACTGGTTGTAATGTTGACGGCGCTGTGGTGCTGCTGATATATGTATTAATAAATAATAGGCACACAAGTATTCGATAATATTGCGTGTTCCTGAAACAACAGTCCCGGTGACGATAGAGTACGATAATACAATATATTATTCTCGGCGCTTCAACAGAATCAAAAGAACACCGCAAAGAACAATAAATAATAATAATATTTATTATATTACTTTATGAATTTGATGACCTAAAAAAATTTAAAAAAAGTAATCAAATTATAACTTAACAAATTACTCTAAAAATACCAAAAATAACATAACATTTTCAAAAGTTGCGTTTTTTTAATAATAAATTATCGAAAAATCTTCGTTTTTAAATAAATATATTTTATTTTTATTATTTTATTCATCTAAATTTAAACAATGCGAATATTTGTATATATTAAGACTGTTTTTTTTTTTACAGATTACAGGGTCTTAGTGTCATTTAAAACGGAAATAAGAAATAATGTTAGTAATGCAAAATTATTACAAAAAAGAAATTGATATTTTTAGAAAAATAACTGAAAGACTGAGCTTTACAATACGTTAATTTTTTCAAATATTTAATTCTGTCAAAAATAATATGAAAGAAAAATGTAAAAAATGCAAATATATCTACAAAAATGCATCAGATTCAGTAAAAAAAATGACCGTAAAACCAAAAATGACCAAAAAATGCACAATAAAAATGGTTTTATTGAATTTTACATAACATAAGTGACATATCTTTAAAGACATGCGAATGCATCAAGTTCCGGGCCCTAATTACAATATACACGTATGTAAGCACTACTGGACTACTGATGAGGAACAACTACGTATTACATTTTTTGGTATAAGCTATATAAAAATTAAGCATTTTATAACGCGTATATTCCAAAACAGAATGTTTTTCGGAATATAAGGTACATCGGTTAATAAGAATCTAATTTCGGAAAAGTAATTTGTATTAGCATACTAGATTAAATATGCTATTTAGTAGGTATATAATTTAATCTATGGTATTAGTCGTGATCGTAAACTCGTGATTATTATTCAATGCTCGGACGAGTGGTACTGCAGCTGAGTACCTAACCTAAGCTGAGTACCTACCCGCAAAGCGTCGGCCCGTCACCGCGCCCATAATCAATTAATTAAATTAATATCCATATTCCATAGCTAATAATATGTTTGTGCTGCAGGTACCGCTACTACCATTCCACAACTCGTCGTGCACCACGGATAAGCGCACCGCAACATCAATAACGCTTATGCCCGCGCAAAGCGCACGACGAGCATATTATTATAATATAGGTAGTATAGGCATAATTACTATTATCGTCCAAGTAATAATATCGTTAAAAAAAAAAAAAATAATGAAAAAATAATTAACAAAAAATAAACAATCGTAGCGTTGTTTGCGTACGCAATAATAATAACATACGCCCAGCGAGTGAGAATCGTAAATTATTATAATATATACAGTTAAGGTTAGACCGCCAAACACTTGAGTATACATTGCCGAGAACGTTTACAATAATTGTATAACGATGATAACGACGGTGGTGGTGGCGGTGGCTACGATGGCAATGACGGCGTTGATCATGATCATGATGATGATCATCATCATCATCATCATCATCATCATCATCATTACAATCATCATCGAGGTAGTGGCATAACATTATTATAGTGTGATAGGCGTTATATTAATGATGTCTCACACTCGTCAAGCGCGTTTCCGTGCCAATATTGACACGCGCCCGGTCGGACGTCGTCGCGTACGTTGTCGAAAAGCGTGCGCCACATTTACGTATCCGCATTTTAACACGCCGTTGCAGTCGCGGACCGAGCGGAGCTGACGCGCAACAATTTTTTACAACACTTTCAACGAGTGCGGAGTGTACGGCAACGGTACATTTTCATCGGTACAAAATAAATATAAAATATATATTATACGACGACCCGCGTCCGGCGAGACTATACGCGCTGCCCGACGGCCCCCCCGACGACGGATCCCGCGGGCCTACCTATAGTATACAGTAATATAATATTATACGCCCCAATAACGACACGGCATACCATAAAATTATTATTATTATTATTATTATTATTATTATTATTAAACACTATTGAAATTTGATAATAATTGTTAATGTTGTGTTATTATTGATATTATAGCCACGGACGCTAGGCCCGTCACCGTCGTCCGTTTCCGGTCGCCGTCGCCGAAATAATGTTAGCGACCGCCAAGCGCGCAACGATTGTTGCCTTGTTGTTGGTGTGCTGTTACTACGATCAAGTGAGTGTAATTAATATGTATAGATGTATACCTAACCTAACCTAACACGGAAAGGTGTGGTGTAATTCAGTCGTATAGACCACCGGCTGTACGCGGCAACCGAAACTCGGAAGGTTATAGTCGTGTTCAAAAAAATAGATTTCTCAGCATCAGGCCCTATTACCTCAGGAACACCTTTCCTTTTCACCCATAACTGTGGATATGTCGGGGACAAATTATATAGCTCTAAACTCCTTGAAAGAAATAGACGTTAAAGTTTCGGAACGCGCATTGATTAGAGAGTCTATTAAATGGCTGAATAGACGCTTCATGTCTTCATCTATAGAACCATTCATGTTACTCTTATAAGAGGTACCTGCATAATAACACAGGATTACGGTAGAGTTTTTTTTTTCAAGTCAAAACTAATTTTGCGAGTAATGTACCTCGGAGGTTAGGAGGATGAGGAGGATGTGACTTATTAAATATTGTCAGCTAAACGAACGAGTGTGGACATAGTTCTCTTTTATTCCATAGGTCTCTCGGTAGTAAGTGGTCGCGGTGTTTACTAATAATGTATGTCTAGTATAACAAATGCCCAGACGCCTTCAGCTACAGGCGCTAATAGTACGCCAGTCGTATTAATAAAATCACTACTCGACTAAAATAGGCACTAACACACTACGGAGTGGGTCTTGTTATTGCTGTACTAAATGCAGAGCCCATCATAGGAAATATGGCCTCGGGGCGATATAATTTTAAGTGGCCTTTAATATTTGTTTAAGGTAATTTAAAAAAGACAGTGAACATTAAAATAACATAATTGCATTAGTGAAATAAAATTTTATTTACAAAACATAAATTAATTTTTAATACTTGTATAATATTTAAAAATAATTATTAAGTACCGGTACTTATAATAATGTTAGTACAAATAAAAAAATATTAATATTTACTGAAACACATCATGTACATTATATGTATAATATACATTGTATTGTAAACAAAGTGGTAATGCATTAGGTCAATTATTTCGTTACAAATTCGCATTGAAATATAAGATACATTCTTTGATCCTTTGTTAGCGCGTTCATTCATATGTTTTTTAAAAAGGGAATCATAATCGGAAATACATTCAAAAAATCCAAGAAAATTTCCATTACTCGAAGAACTCATTCGCGATTTCATTTCTTTAACCCACAAATGCTAACCCATGAACAGCCAAAAATTTAACAACAGATACTTAACAGCGCAATATTCAACGTATTTTATTAATTCATAGTTTTACCTGCACGATGTTCACACGATCTAACCAAGTTAACAATGATTTACGATGGTTTGCACGTTTATGTTCTTTACATTTTTCGTAAAATTTTTTTCGAATTGTTAAAATTAGAATTAATAAAACTTAAATTATTTACAAACAAAACAAAAAACGTTGCCAGTGTATTTAGAAAACATGTAAGTCATTTACGTAAGTGTATTTCAAAATTAGGCAATTTTAATTCGGATAATGATAATATATTTAATGAGTGGTTATAATTTTTAAATGTTTTTCTGAAGAATGAAATTTTTTTGGATCCATATTCTAAAAAAATGCTGATCCTTTTAAACCACACAATTTTATAAATGTGTTGTTTAACACTTAAAGGTCACATTCTTGAATTATGATATTAATTTTAAAATTATTAACATCCGAATTAAAATGAATTGCTATTACTGAATTTTCAACTGTAGAACAATTGTCAATATTATTTTCAGAAACATTTAAAGCATTAGATTTTGAAGTGACTATTGTACTAGACGTGATACGACTTTTAGTATCATTATTCATGTTTTCAACACCAAGATAACTAGATATTATTTAGAACAAAATTATCTTTATTATTTGCATTAGTTTCTACTTCGTTCGCACTATTGATAGTTTTAAAGAAATTTGTTAACTTTAAGTTGGGCTCTGACATAAAAATGAAACAAAAGTATATTCTTTGTTTTTCATGTTTTCATAATAAAAACTCGGATATTTTCTACAAAATGTCTAAATCATGTGTATGTTTTTGGTTTTTTTGGTATTATTTTGCAAATTAAGTACCTATCATAGGTTACGTTAAACATCTAAAACATTAAGTTAAACCAAAAATGTAATATCTCGTTCACTATTTTAATATTGTAAAGTAACTTATTAGTAATGACTAATAAGTTATTACTTAATAAGTAGTGGTATTTAGCGTTACTCAAAATCGGCCAGAGTAGGAAAATTAATAAAATCTACATAATCAGCCCAAAAACAATATTAAAAAAAAATACATAGGTATGTATATTATTTTAAAATATGAAATAAACGCATATAATTTCAACGTTTTGGAATTTTTCAAGCGATTACGGTCCCTAGAGAACCGGTTAATCAATACCTAACTGTGAAAAAATAGCAACTGGCTTGATTTTTTTTTTTTACGTTGCGGGAAAATTAAAGACACGTAATGATAATTATGTACAGCCCAAATTTCGGGGCACATTTAATTTTGGCAACGATTCGTGAAATAAAATTAATTTAAATATAATACAAAACGTATAACGTTCGAACGATACATTATCATTTATCATTATTATTATCACCGTTGAAAATAAACTATTTGATTTAAGTATAATATAATATTAACATTATTCGTTACAACCGTTGTTGACTTATATTAAATTCTAAGCTGAACCGAGATAAATTTGCTGAGCGGCGAAATTAATACGGTCGTCTTCGTATCTGCGCAGGCGGCCACCGCCCGTCACGATCATGTGCGGACGAAGAGCGGCTCGACGAACGTGCATAGGACCAAACACCTGACATCTGGCATGCCCCCGGTAACCGTGGTTTCCAGCTCTGTGAATATGACCAACGGAGGATCGTCAGACGTTGACGCAGACGCCATAGCGTCGGAAGAGAACCCTAACGGCGGCAAGCTGAGCGATTTCCTGTTCGGCAGACCAAACAAAATCTTCAAGAACCTCATGCGATCCGGCGTCAGAGTTGTTCAGCGTGGCATGGACGTCTTCCAGGGGGTGTCAAACAAGGTGTATCGCGTGGCCCGGAAGAAGATCAGCGGCTCGAGCACCGGAAGCTCATCGCTGTCGTCCAGCAAGTCAGACGAAAACGGCGGCAACGTCGGCGGCCGGCAACCAGTCAAGCGACATGTGAAGGCTGCGCCGAAAAAGCCTACCGGCTTCGTCAGGTCGGTGGCCAGAATGCTTGACACCGGAATCACGGGCGTGGAACGGGTTACCGACCTGGGACTTCTGTTGGGCAACTTGGGTACGCACAAGATCATGGCCCAGCTGGATGGTAAGAGCGGCAACCAGGAGATATTCAATTTGATCATCAAATACGTCGGTACGTATTGCACGCCATATGATATAATATGACGTTGGAGCTCATACTATTATTGTTATTAATGTTGTTCAGTGGCGCGACCAGTATTTTTTTTAAGGTGGAGGGGGGGTCCTAAAATATAATTACTTTAAAGTAGCAAGCAAATTTAATTATTATTTTATTTTTTGATTAATATAAACATTATAATTTTAATGTAAAATTGAATGATAATTAAATGTAAAAAAAGGTATGTGCAATATGTATTAAACTGATGTGATAATAATAAAATTATGGTATTTTAAAAAGATACGATACGGTTGTGGCTTGGCGTGGCGCGTTGGCTGTTACCAGTCGTGGAATGCGACTGGGAGTAAGTAACGTCCACAGCTACTAGCTTCCGGATGGGTGACCACCCGGGTTCATAGTGGTTAAAAACCTTGCCGCACATACACGTGTTTTTTATCTACCGTACCAACCTTATCCCTACAACAGCTAATGGGCCTAGTCACCGGGCTTAAGTTCAAAAAAAAAAATACGACAATTTGAGGGGGTGGGGGGTTCTGGACCTCAAGACCTCCTACTAGTAGCGCCTCTGTTGTTGTTATTGTGTTAACATTGTGTATGACAGACGCGATAGTTTATAAGGGTAGAGATTTTCTGTTTTTTTCTTTAAGGATCATTTTCACGATGTCTTAACATAGCCATATCGCTTTCCTGCACGGAAAAACGATTGTCGATTTTGATAATTGTATTTAATATTCATTAATATTAGTTAAAAAAATTCAAATTTGAAACTCATAAACTTTTAAATTTTTTTTTTTCATTTTTATTATTATGGAGGAATGTATATGAAACCTTGAATTCATTTTTTAAATTTTAGGCGTGAATATAAAAAGTTGTGTGCGTTTTTTAACTAAGAAATAATTTGAAAATTTTCACGGTTTTGATAAACTTATAAAAGTTTGAACTTAAAATGCTTATAAAAATTCATCGTGAATATGTATTTTGGATATTTTTTAATTAGCATATTATGAACAGTTAATGGGGAGTTTTTATTAAATTTTCAAGCTGTTTTAGCTAAAATCAAAATTTTAATCATAAGTAAATAAATCGAAAAAAAGTTCAAAATATAAAATACCTATAAATTGCACAAAAATACTTAAATTATTTATTTTCATGTAAATGCCAATATAAAATTGTTCGATGAACATTTCAAGTCCTTACAGTTGTTAATTTTTAAGTTGTCTCGATTATTCTGAAAAGTACTTGAAATTTTTACTTTTTAACTCCTCCCAAAATAAAAACTTAGAAACGCATATCAATCATCAAAAATATCAAATAACAACCAAATGGTGCCGCTCGGGATTTCTACAATTAAATCAATAAATTAATTAATTAAAAATAAATAATTGTATGATGCCTATATTTTTTGTTAAATTCATTAGACAACATGCTTACATTAAAATTAATTATATTTACCGTTATTCCAAAACAATAACACGTGGAATGACTCGGTGTGCATTTTATGACATTGCCAAAACACTTATATTTTAACCTGTGGCTGCAGTGGGTGCGCAAAGGCGTTTTTAATATTATTTTTGTTTTTGTTCCCGACGAGTTGTGGTTGATCTAGACTCTACAGATAATATTATTTATTTTTCGTAATCAGTATACTTGAAGTATTACATCATAATAATGAGGAGATCATCAGGTTTAGGATTTATGTTTCCAGATTATTTGTAAATACCATCGGCAACAGACGGTGGCTGCAAAACGCCAAATACTCCCTAAATCACTACATAAATAGATGTATATTTAGGGTACTCACTAATTATACTCATCAAATGTTTTTAATTTACAAATTCGTTACAGGACCATGCATTATATTTTAATCGTGTACAGACTTGCATGTAATACAATTTATGGTTTAATAATGGCTATACAGAGCAATATTGTGCGCGTGAGTGTACCTACAAACTAACATATTATAATAACAACACGCGTTACACGTGTGTAAACACTAGCGCAAATGGTTAAATTCGCTAATATGAGTTACTTCTGTGTTGCGCATATGCCCAAATTTCAATATTTTCGCTTAGTTTTCTGATGTCTTGGTAAGTGCTTCTTGTCGTTGAGATTATACCCCAAATTCAAAAAATAATGTTTTGAATAATATACCAAACAGTTGTATAATTTTAATTGATTTGGTTTTAATATCAAATAATTTTAATAATTATTTATAAAAATCGAATATTAAGTTTCACAACAATTGAAAAAAACAATGTTAAAATCTATCAATCATAAGAGTGAAATATGAATATAATATGGTCTGTTTTACAAATTATAATACTTAGTTTTGACTATATTATTAAATTGGGTTAATATTTTGTTGACTTCGTCATATTTTTTTATTTGAAATGAATACAATATGACAATTTAAAAAAACAAAATTTCTGTTCTAAATATGTTTGTATATAAATAAATAATAAATGAACCGATCAAATCATCATTCTTGTTTCTTTCTCACGAGAACATTATTCATTTGATTATTTTATTTTATTTTTATTTTTAGTTACTACTTCTAATTTTAGCAATTAAATTTAAAGCTATCTGCTAAAGTGCCTACCTTTATTAATATAGTTTCATTCGATAGTTTTCATTTTGTATTTAAAATTGTAAGTAGATTTTTGACAAAATCAAGACCATTGCAATTACCTAATCCTAACGCATATGTGTTATGATATCAACTATTATAAATGTATATTATACCTAACCAACACATACAAAGTTATCATTAAAAAAAAAAATAGACTAGTCTAACCCTACAATACAAATATGTAGGTACCTATGTTTTTAAAGTAAACGCGTTAATTGAGTACAAGTTGTAAACTTGTATCTACGAGTAAATCATTTAGTTTCAATAGTCTTGACTATATTTTAATATATTATGTATAAAGTTATAATATTATAATGATTGTAATCCATATCATATAAATTAGGTACCTACGCGTATGAAATAGAATTTCGTGTTGTTTTTTTTTTCAAAAAAGGGTCCAGAGTTGGCAAACAATCCAAAGGCAGTGCAGGTCAGTTCATCAATGACGTGGGTACGATATCGACTTTTGCAGCCACAGACGACGAAGTCACCAATTCGATATCATTGATAATGGAAAAGTTAATGAGCAACCCTAAAGTGAGCAAAGCCATGGTGCGTTTGGCTATTACAGTTTTGGACTCCAGTCCATCCACGTCATGCTTGCTAGACCAATTGCCGTTATCGTCACAAGACGTGCGGATGGTGTTCGATATATTTGTAGGAAGCAACGGACAAATGATGTTGAAAACCATTGCGGGGCTTGTATCAGACTTGACCACAGGGCCAGACACGAAAGCGTTTTTGGAATCAGCTTTGGGCATGATGTCCATGTTCAAAAGGTATATCGCTTAAATCGCCATCTTATTTATCAGTCTTGTCCAACTTGATAGTGAACATACTATAGTTGAGGTATTTTATTTTAAATATGGACGTGTGGACATTGCCTATCTAATGTCAGAAGGTGTATTTAAAACAAAACGATGTATTTTTTCAAATAAAATTGCAGGTAAAAATAAGTAATCATAAGAGGTACAAAAAGGCTATACATCAATCTTGTGAAACGATATTGAGGTACGTCTAAGTATGTTTATCGATTGTACCACGATATAAGTTTTGTTAACTACACGAAAGAAATGTATCGAAACAGAATAAAAACTCCATTGATTTTGTATTAATTCTGTCGTCTATTCCATCGGATACTGTTCATACTGAGAACTTATACTCATATATTTATATAGATCCTACCGAGTTTCATATAAGATTATTTAATATTTATTGTATTTAATATTTTTATGAACAGTGTATACACATGTTTTAAATACAAAAATACAAACTGACAGTTGAATCAGATTTATATATTATGAATATTTATTTTTATCGTTGTATCTATGATTACCTTTTGAGGTGATCGAAAATGATTCAATTTTTAACTTTGAGAAATCGAATGTAAGAATTCTAGTACTTTGAAAAATAACAGGAATAGAAGTCTAGGATAATTTCTTTGAAATGATTGATTATAATTTATAGGTACCTAATCAAAAAATATTATTTTCGATTCTGATTAATATAAATATATATTTATACGTGAACTATAAATTACAGACTAAAATAAAATGTAATTACTAATCCACAAGTTATAGCTCTTATAACCAAACCAATCATTCCAATTGAAAAACTAAAACTTAAAAAATAAAAATTCGCTATAAAAAAATTTAGTTGAATAGGTATAAAATACAGCTTGATGCTAGTCACACGCATAAATACACTATATTCATCAGACGATCGACATACGTATTATACACAATATCAATTTCCGTGGCCTAAATACGATGTTTTGAATTTTAAGTATAATTGTACAGAAAAATTATGGAGAAAAAGCTGTTCATATTATGACTATAGTTTTTTATAAAATTATGTTCCAGTGACGATCCAGAAGCAGACATTAAGAATGCGGATAAACCAGCTACATCTGTTGTTGGCTCACTGACTGATTTCTTTACGGGCGGTGACGATGAGGAAGAAGACGATATTGATGACTATAACAAGTCTGTACCCCCGCCGACGAACAATAACAGAAAAAAAGGCAGCAGTGTAAGCGAAACTGTACCGAAACCGTCTAAGAAAAAACTAAAGAAAGACGATGATCCTTGGTTCAGTAACACTGAAACCTCGTTCGATTCGTCAATGAAAAAACTCGATTTCGACGATGATCCTTGGTTTAGCAGTAGTGGAACTACATCGAATCGGCCAACAAAAAAAACGGACACACCCAAGTCCAACAATGCGTTCGAAAACAGCAGCACCGATAGTAGCAACAAAAAGGTTGATAAAAAAAATCATAGTAAAACGAAAGTGGTGATCGAAAACATTGATAACGCGAGTTTCAGAGACGACAATAAACACAAAAATTCCAAGCCGATAAAAGTAAAGAAAAATAGAAAAACCTTCGTCAAAAAGCCAAGTTTACGTGACGACTTCGATAGCGAGGAAAAAGACTAATGGTAAGGGAGTTCATCCCGCTCGGTTTGAAGGCACGCCAATAACTATACATGTATATATATATATATATATATATTATATTGTATATCTCGACTTGTACTTTAATTTGCAAACGGTATAACGATAATAAAACATAATTCATATACTACATCAGCATCGAAATAATGCGCAATATATATATATATATATATATATATATATATATATATACATATTAAATATAAATTATAAAATATCTGTCGTAAAGTTGAATCTCTCAAAGATTTTTATTAACAATATACAAAAGTATTATTAAAATTGTAAACGTTTTAAAATTATATAAATCTATTTACATTAGTTTATATTATTATTATTACGTTTAAAATAAGATAATTAACCTAACACCTAGTTTTTGGTAATCACGTACAACATAATATAGGCATATAGGTACTAATAAATATATAGCGTTGGGATTATACCTACAGTATTACAAATGATGGTGTACTTGATATAATTTGTTTTGACGACTATAATATAGTTGACGATATTATATATTATCAGAAATACCTATAATAGCAGGAATGACATAGTACGGGTGTTAATGGTTAATTCAACTTAAGAGATACTCAAAAATATTTATATTTTGTTGATTAATCGTGTATTTAATTGAAAAAATAATAATGATTATCTGTTATTTCCAAATATTTAAGTTATCAATTACAAAACGTTGACAATTTTGGAACTCACTTCTAGACATGTTTTGTATCTACTTGGTAAAAAGCGGCACACACACACACACACACACACAATATTCGGGTCAATATGTAGTTATGAAAATTTATATTCCGACTTCCACAAATAATACCATCATATCAGGACAGAATAATAAAATAATGATGGATAAAGCTGATATAATTATTATTGTGTTTACACACTCAAATTTTAAAAATTTTAATATTTACGTTTTCTTAAAATTCCGATTACTCTAAAAAAAATGTTTAACTATATACGTCTATGACCATATTCCATGATATAATATTGGTAGGTACGTGAACTTTTTTTAAGACTGATAACAACATTTTGGCACATGACCATAAAAAACATTGCCCACTCTTATAGTGTAAAAAACACGTTGCACGCGTGAAAAACAGGAAATAGCGAATTTTGGATAACTAACTAGGAAATTTAGAACACAAAGTTAATAATTAATTTCTTAAAATGTGAGTAGAAAAAAAACAATATAAACTACAGTAGAAGTTTTCATTTGAGACGTACAAGTAAATGTTTTTTCTAAATAATTTAATGATCTATCTGATCTTAATTTTCAGGAGTACTAGAAAAATAGTATACATAACACGATCTATAGATGACAACAATATTATTGCTTGTAACGTATTGAACTCTACACCGCGTGCTATTTAGCGAAAAATGCGTTTAAAATATTATAATATATTTTATTTGTGTATTATTAATATGTGTATATAATATTTAGTAAATTGTAGTTATTTATCAACAGGCAACGACATCGACACTGGAAATTTACTACTTAACTCAAAAACAATTTTAAAGGAAATTTACTGCTATACTCAAAAATCTACTGTTAAATACAACTTAAAATAATGCAAGTATGTAATGTACGTTTCAAGTGCTTTATTTTTTTCTTTTTAAAAAGATAGTTATTTTATTATTATTATTTTTTTTTTTTTTGATTTATTATTATAATATATTTATAGATAGATACCTCCTATAATAATATATATAATGAATAATAATAATTAATAATTTATGCTACATATCTATAAGCAAAGTTGGCCAATACTAACAAATATGTTTAACTTGTCAAGTTAAATTAGTATTGAACGGTGTACAGCTAATCGTAAGTTAAGTTTATAGTACCAGTTACTTTTCTTTTTTTTTAATTAAATGAATAACTATAATAATACTTAAATTCTGTAGATATAGAAACACATTAAATATAATAGCATGTTTGTTTTAAACTGTAATAGCTAGGAAATTATTGCATTTGCATGTTTTTTTTTTTTTTTTTTTTAAACTATTAGATTTATTGCTAAATAGGCTTGAAATTAATTTCACAATACGAAAAAAATATTTAAAGTATATAGTGCATATTTCTGTATTTTTTATGATTAATAATATGTTTATAATATATTTTTAAATTCGATAATAAAAAAATTATTATAGTAATATTAGTATATTTGTTCTAAAAGTTTTCACTAGGTATTATTAAGGTTTTTCAAAACCTTTGTTGACATATATTTTCTGTTTTTATAAATAAATATTTTGTATAAATATTAAAACATAGGCGATAGGTATAGAAATACCTATTTTAATTTTAATAAAATATTTGTATTTATGAAAATTATGAGTAGAAAAAATAAGTGCATATTTTTAAAGTATATTATTTGTACTATTACAAGCACATGCATAATTAGTACCTTTTAAGTGCATTAAGTTCTGAGCCCTAAAAAATCCCGGTTTTGAATTAATATATTCCAGTAATATTGAGCTTGAAGACAAACCGAGTTAAATTATTTCTGATTTCGGTTTACTAGCAGAAACAGGATTCACATATTTGATATTATTTTTGTTTCAGTTATCGGGTAAACACAGTTTCAATTTGTTTTATAATTTTCCAAGTTTCAGATACGATTCGATTCCATGTTTTCGTCGAGTTATAGGTTTAATTATTAGGAGATTAACATAAAGACATAAAAGTAAATATTTATAATTTAATGGATTCATAATTATGATTGTTAAACACCGATCCTTTTGACTTCGCAGTCGACTGCAATAGAATATTTTACGAAAAATACAGTATGAATATTATATACCTAAATAACATTTCTATGACCTATATTCTTAAACATTTTTTTTTTTTTTATCATTAAATATTAGAGTCAATCATTGCATTAAGTCGTTAACGTTTTAATAAATTAATTCAGCCATGTATCTAATATTATTAATATTATAACTTGTCATATCAATGGAAAATTGACAAGATCAACGCCGTATATTTACAGTAAATGCAATTTATCTATCAGATATGATTATTTATTCTATAATATTGCTTGTCATAAACTAATAAGTAATAAGTATTGAGATTTTAAATAACTTTTCGTTGTATTTGTTTGATGTTTCTATAATATTTGTTTTGATAAACAGTAATATTATTATGTGTATTTTTTTAATCTTACGTCACTTTTTTTAGACAGTGAAATAGGTAGGTACTTAAAACTTAAACTTTTTATAGGATGTGATATGGTAGTAAAAACTAAAAACTAACAAAAAAAAAATCTAAGGTTTGAAAATTTACTTTATCACATCGTTTCTCGTAAGTTTTTTTTTAACAAATTACGATATTTAAATGAAAAGTAACAGTTATTTTTAATTATGTTGTTTTAATTAAAATAATTATTCACGAAGACCTGTATCTTTTCGTCAAGAGTCTAATTATTAGATTAGTATATTTCGATGTTGTCGATATTATGTATAATACATATACGATCGTTATATACACCGTACTTTTCACGTATTACTATCAGCCGAGTATTTAGTTTTTAAAATAATTATTTATTAAGTGAGTAAAAATTTAGGCTTATTATAAGCGCATTGAAGTGTGGTTTGGGCCTTAGGTTAAGTTAGGCTATACATAGATAACTATAATATACCTACTCAATCACAATCTGGTTTATCATTCATCTATATATAATAATAATCTGTTATAATTGTAAATGATATAGTTATTTAATTGTAAATACCACCGTAATGTCTGTAATTGTCGGAACGTTAATAATATTATCAAAATAAATAGTATTTACTACAACAGACGTGTCTCAATAAAAAAAAAAAAAAAGACAGTAATAATATTAAATGAATAAATATCAAAATACCTCAGTAGGAGATAATTTGTAATTATATCATATTATATGCATGAGTGTTGAATAAAAAAAAAAGCCAGCGGTACGTAGTGTTCCCAAACGGTCACCCATCCAAGTACTAACTACGCCAGACGTTGCTCAACATCTGTAATCGGACAAGAATTGGAGTGTTCAACGTGTACGGTCGTTGGCAAAGGGCGACGGTTAACCGAGTTGATGTAAGCAACCGTCGTATGACGCGGTAAACCGCGATAACCCGATAAAATAAAATATTGAACAATATCGTTACAATTTATACATTCAGCCGTTTCGATGAAAACCTAACCAAACCTTCGATGAAAGGATGTACATAATAATATGAACGTATTGATTATAGACGGATACGCTCGATAAAATATCACAAAAATATTTTTCAAATAAAAGTGGGTAGACCCGGGCCTAACTGTCGACTACGACACCGTTACGCACGCTCTAGAAAGAAGTTGCGAAGTGCTGCGGTGCTTGAAAAAGCTGTTTTGACTATTGACCACGACCGTAGTCTTCTTATTTCGTCCCGGTTACACGGAGGTGTATCTGCGACGAAAGTTTGGCAATACACATCTATGCCTCGCGCTCGAAGGCTGTGGATATACCTACGCCGACGGGCCGACGGCGAGTCAACGCTAATAATTTCATTATCGATCGGAAACGATATAGCTGGTATACACGGAGTGTTCTACCTCTTTATTTTGATCAAGGTGGATATATCCACCTTGATTTTTATTATACTTTGATTTGGCTATCAGATTTAATACGCAGGATTCGTACTTAATAATATCCGCCAATCGAATACAATCGTCAGTATAATTAACTACAATTAATCGCAAACAAAATTGTTGTCTGTACTTTAGGTACCTACTAAAAATAATTATAATCTAACGAATGTGATACTTATTTAACATACCTACCAATTTCTATCGTAATACAATATTGACTAGTAGAATGGTGGTATGCTATCGTTTTTCAATTTTTCAATGAATAATATTTTTTTCTGACCAAATCTCTCTTTTTTTAGAATTTGGGCAACTATGGACATTTTGGGAAAACTATAGGACGCTCAATTAAACACCTCTCTCCCAACCAGAGAAAGACCGCTACAACGCGGGATTGATAAAACAAATGAGACCATTATTTAGAAAATGGTAAAATCAGTATATGACATGGATGGCTTAAATAATAATTACAATTAGAACATAAATAATCACGTTTTGTTTTATTATATTTACACGTACAGAAATTACGTAATGCAATACAAAATAATAGTAGTAAAATGTCAATATTTTCTACAACAATCATGTTTAACCTTATATTATATATGTAGTTGTACAAAGTATATAATAATATAGTTATTATCGCGTTTGGCGGTGAGAGCAGTATCTATACATATACATAGTCGATAGTAAATACTACACACACGACGTAATAATTTATTGTATCATAATATTATAGAAAAAATTGTACACAAATACATAACCGTATTAACGTGCATTTAAGTATTACGATAAAAATAAAAAATAGACTATCATCTGGAGTCCTCCCGCAGTATAAATATTATAAATATCGTAAATACAAATGTCCAAAAATCGTTGACGAGGACGGAAATGACAAAAATATCGCCTTCGTCGCTACACAAAACAATAATAATACAATAATAATAATAATAATAATAATAATAATAATAATAATAATAATATGGCCACCACCGCCGCGGCGTGTTACACTGTACTGTCTAATTTTTCGTTCGGCATATCATTTAGGGCGCCGGCCAGACGATCTCGACCGTCGTCGTATTCGTATATACTATACATCGTAATATAAGCTCGTCGTTCAAAAGGTATCTTTTACGCGCCCACGGCTAATTATTCATATCCGTTTGTCGTGTAAACACGTATACGGCGCACAGTATTATAACGATAACGATATGAATAAAATAATAATAATAATAATAAAAATAATAATAATGACGGACGACGGTACTCAACGATATAGATAATCGTAACCGTGCCAACCCGCACGAGGTGTGATAAAGGATAGGTACAAACAACTGCATCGGGTTAAATTATCGGGCATCGATTAAATCAACAACACTCCAGTGACAATAACAAAGGTGATCGTGAAATAATATTAATATTAATAATAATGACGATAGTTATAGGTACAAAGAAGTATAAATCATTCCAAGAAACGAAAACGCGCAATTTGTGATCGGCAGCAGCGGTGAAGGATTCGACACAGAAGAAGAGAAAACAATAATAATAATGATAATAATAATAATATTAATAATTATACCTAACGAAGAAAAACAATAATAGTAATAATAAAAACGTTTATAAATGACGAAGGCGTGCGAGAAGCGGCGAGAGCAGGAATGTCTCCGAGCGGCGGCCGATGCCGTCGACTGTTTGGAGTTATTGTTGTTGAGCGTCATCGGCGGTCGATGGCGGCGCCTTGAGTAACAGGTCACCGTACTGGAGTAGAGCTTCGGTCAGCGAGTCCGTGACCTGAGGTGACGAACAACATTGTTGAGTGTGCGGTACGCACCGCACGAGGCACGGGTAAAGTCTGACCAACTGGTCCCACACGGCTTTGCTGACTATCGATGTAAAAATGAAAAATTAACAAAAAAATCTAAGTGGTTAGTGCACGTTTGATGTTTATTTCAAAACGCGCGCGCGACGACGGTACATAATTATTATATAATGCGAG